CACTGATGATGTTACCTAGTTGGGTAATGAAATGTCTGCAAGCAAACAACCAAGCTCAGAAAGCACCAAGGACTCCATAGATCAATTTATTAATGTGCCTCCAAACCTGATATAAATTAATTCTTGGGTATTAGTTATAGCAGCCCCAGTCTGTTTCTTGAAACACAGATTTGCTGAAATGCTTACTAAACAATAACCACCTTCAAGATACTTGTTAGACATAAGATTGAAGAGCTTCCATGAAAACAATTCCTGTGCCTTTTCAAATGAGATTTACCCAGGAATATTCTATGAAAAAAGAAAAATGTCTCACTCATGTAATTTCAGTATACAGACCTGGGAAATATTAGGGATGCCCTTCTAAGCTAAGCAATAAATAGAGAATAAATGTTGATGAATATGTGATTTCTAACAGTAAAAGCATATGGTGATGAACCAAATTTCCTGAGGGGGTAGTGATTTCTCTTTCATTGAATATATTCAAGCAGAGGCTAACAGGCAGCTGTCCAAGATTGTTTCATATGTATTGTGCAATGACCACAAGATAGGGCACTGTGGCCTATGGCATATGAAAGCTTTGCAAATAAATACCAGAGCTGGTTTTGATGCTGCATAACTGGCCTTGGTACAAAAGCAGATTCATTTTTCTATAGGAAAGCACAGCTGCTTAGTGCTGCAAATGCAGCAACAATGCTAATGACAAATGATAAACTCTAGAAAAGTAGAAGAAATTCTGGTTTCTTCGTGCCTGCTTTAAACTGTAAAAGGACATCCTGGTTTTCCATCCTGGCAATTTCCTCTTAGTGAAACCTCTAAATCCATTTTCAAGTAATGCCTTCTATATAGAGAATGAAACTATTTCCTTTCTTTGTTCAGCTGCTATAAAAATGATATAAAAGACTCCGCAAGACACTAAAGCAGGATTGGCGGACACCTAATTCCATGTGCACTGATGCAATTACAATAATCCACAGGAAACAGAAGGGAACCTTTCTTAGTCCATTCCATCAAGCAATAAGTATTTCATTAATCAGCACACATTTCCTGGAAACTGCTGCATTAATCAGTTCCTTGTTACATGCGTCCAATATTAATAATGAAAATAATTAAGCTAAAAGTTATTCATCTCTTTTAGATACTTGGCTGCATGGTGCAGGGAGATCTGTTTGCCTTATTTTCTTCCAATTTGATAATCCTTATGCAAGTGGTAGGGAGGAAGAGAAATTGTGAGCCAGAAAAATAGTATGCCAGAACTGTTTCAAAGTCCATTTTGACTGTCTATACCTGGTATATACAATGATTACAACAAAATAAGAAAGCTGTTGCTGTACAAATAACTTTACTGTCTAATGACATCCACAACTGAGTTCCCTAAGATATGAAAGGGAGTTTGTTCTGGGGAGGTCTTAGTTTTCATACCGATGTCCCCCTAAAAAGGGTAACTCGGTTATCCTTAGTAACATTACTCTTACAGCTCTAGCATACATCAACTCAAGCATGTAGTAGATGATATTATTGACTTGGTTTTCTATTTTTAAAACATGAATGCTGATCCATTAATGAAGAGGCCTTTCACTGTGTACTGCAAGTTTTATGGACCTATCATGTTGATCTATTTAGAAATTTCAACTAGTTCATAAATTGGGAGAATGCTTTTTTCCCACAAACATGATCAAAACACTTGTTCATTACTAGTAATAAATGCTGTTATTTAATTATTCTTCTTGTAGTGATATCATATCTTTTTGGATTTATGATCAGTTTAGAATTTTGAGGAAATGTCTGTGCTCTGTCAAAAAATAACTGTCATGAGTAATACAGCCAATTCCTAAACCCAGTTTCAAAGAAATCAAGCTGGCCAAGCAACCCAAGTACAAGGCAGAAGTGGAGTCTTAAGTCCCAAAGAAAAAGATGGTTCTTTTGGATTGGGTTTATAGTCTCCTACTTTCAACACAACATTCACTTTGAGCAAGGCAATTTCATTTCCCCATATCAGAACTTAGTAAATTTCTCTATACTTAATCCCCCCCAGTTCCAAATTCTACCAGAATGCTAATACCCTTGTTTTCCCTCTATTGGCTTTCTTACCCAGCAGTTATCCACTCTCTTCTTGCTCTCCTTATAACTGCAGTTTTGGAAGCCAAGCCCTGGTTCTGGATTGTTGGAAACAACAATTTGACCCTGGCTTTTTTTCATTAACCACAGTTCAAAGTACAGTTCCTCATGTTCAGATGTAAAGGGGAACTTTGTTTTGCTTAAAAGAGGAATTCGATACAATTTCTCCTTCGCTCTTAGAATGAAGAGGAGTTTTTTGTGATGGGAATGATGTAATTTATCTGGTTTAGAGTAGATGAAAAGGCCACTTCACAAAATTATTGTGAAGTGAATTTGCATAAAGCTCATTAGAAATTAAGTGGTCAGATTCTTAACCAACATCAAGTACAGTTGTAGAAGCTGAAATGTATAAACAGTTTATTAGAGTAGGTGACAACTGTCATAACATTGCTCAAGAGATCCCTCTGGAAATTCTGACCAGGTTTCTTCACATTCAGATACAAGGAACATTTTGCCAAATAGAGAACACAGAAATGGCTTCAAAATGTATTTACGATCCTACTCTTAAGCTTGCTGATTTATTGACAAGAATTTCACTTTTACTTTAATCAAAATATAAGTTATCTACTCAGATAGGATAGAACAACTTTTTAAATTATGTACTCATTACTTTACTTGGTATTAGTGGCCTCTATTCTCCAAGAGTCAATGAATCTCCCTTTTCATTGCCAGAAGATCCTCAATAAACCAAGAGCTCACAGTAGAGCTCTAATCTATAGCCTGACTCATCTCTGAATTCCAGAGATTAATAAGAAACTCAGCTGAGCTGCCTGTCAATTGCCAGTAAAATCTGCAAAGCAGCCAGGAATCCATCAATCTTTAAAAGATCATTTTAACTGTACTGAGTAATCTTTGTAATTGCACTGAGCCTCCACTACTGTTCCCTTGATGGCCAGTTATGGTGCACAGTTAATTTACTTATGACTATGGATAAATTTTCTGTATCTTAATCCAGGCTTCCCCAACTGGGCACCCCCTAAACGTGTTGGGATTATAACTCCCATAATTCCTAGTCAGCATATAGGTGTAAAATGGGGAAGGCTGGAATCTCTACTCAATTTTTCCACAGAAGATTCTTTTATAGATGTAGAGAGCCAATCTGGTCTAGTGGTTAAGGCACCAGGCTAGAGACCAGGAGACTATGAGTTCTAGTCCTGCCTTGGGCATGAAAGATGGCTGGGTGACTTTAGGCCAGTCACACTTTCTCAGCCCACAACGCCAGGCTTGGGCAACAAGCCAGTTGGTAAATTCCTGTCTCAACCAATGGATCAACATTTGGTTGATCCAAAAAAAGCAGACCCCGCACCTGTGGGAAAACACTAGGAAGAAAAAATTTTTTTTTATAGATATGCTAACAATGCCTACCTTCGTCACTTAAAAAACGTCTAATTCTATTAAAATGCAAATATAGCTCAATGATTCAGATTTTTCCAATTAAAATGAAGAAAGCAACCCTATATCACTCATATGTACCATACCATTAAAATAAAATCAACATTGTGTTTACTAAAAAGCTACTTGCAAAATAAGTGGAACAACAGAACATCTCAATTATAAACTATATTCTATGATTTTTTAAATTATGTGTTATTTTTGTTCATCAGATGATTCATAATTCACATTACTGAGTCCATAATTCTTACCTGGGATTAGTAAGATTGTAACAAGATTTCCAGATCTGCAACATGTGTTTACAGGTAAGAAGTGCCTCATCGGGGCCCCTGCAGAGTGATTCCAATTTGACTTTTGAAAACAGTAATCTAAGAGAAAACAAATGTTAAAGCTTGTTTATAGTTTTATACCATTCCATTATTTTGTACTTCCAATGAAAATAAGTTTTAAAGTAAATTCATGAAAAGGCAGAACAAGGAGAAATAGAATTGACATTTATTTCAATAAATCTTTGTCTAAGCAATTCATTTTAATGTATTAAAGCAAATATCCACTTTTTATTGCTGAAATTCATATGTGGATGATGACAATCCTAGTTAATTTCTGACCACATTTGTTGGCATTTATTTGCGCATATCTAAACTATACTGACTCTCCATTTTGGAATTGCAGGTATTGTCTCTAACAATGAAAATAAGGATCAGCAAAATATAAACACCTTATCTTTCTTCTCCTTAGTTTTGGATAAAAAGTAAAGTAAATAAATGTGCCTGGCATTTGAACAGAATACATTAACCAAAGGACATTATCTGTCCATTTAATACAGAATTTGGAGACTGACATTTCTCACTATTCTTACTATAGGAACTTAGTTCCTTTCCTTTTCTGATGCTCATCACTAGTGAAAGAAAACAACTACAACTTACCAAAAAGAAGAAAACCAGAATATTAGCTGAGAAAATAACTCTTTTACAACAGAATAGTTCACTTGGCTAACCCAAAGCTGTTTCTCTTCTTTTACCAATCTCTAGAGTTGCTGCCAAAGCAACTATGATTACAAGTGTTTTTAAAAAACACACAAATCCAAATTGTAGCATAGCCTTCTTCTTGTTAGGTCACAAATTAAATAGGATTTGCTTCCAAACTGCACAAAATTACAAGGCTGGAAATCTTTTGGGTCTCAGTTTAGTTCAAACATAGCAAGATTATTCAGAAAGAATACATACTAAGCCAGAGAGGAATTGCATGCACTTCTTTCAGACTACTCTATCAGCATACCTTCTTCAATTATTTCTCTTTAAAGTTGATTGTCATATTTTAAAGCTCTTTTCAACTCTTTTGGGAAACTGTGTAGCACATATAACCCCGTACAGCACTTTGTAAAGAGCATGCAAAGCATATAACTGAAAGTTATGCTTTTCCAGAGTTACTACATGAAACTTCAAAGTATAAATATTTACTATTTGAATACTAATTTTTTGATAGTTTATGGTTTTATATATTAATTTTATGTACTATGTTTGGAATTATACTGGAAGATGCTGAAATAAGTAACAGCTACTTTAGTATCATAAGACTTGTGCAAATATTTCTAGGTAACATAAGGAGGTTAGGGAGTATTCTTCTTTGTCATAATATTGGAAGTTTGGAGGTTTGGATAGAATAGAGTGTATAGAGGCAGAAAGATTACAAATGTTCTTTGATGGTCTCCTGGCAAAATTGCTGAATGTCTTATTCTCTTAGGAAGCTTGATTGACTGATTATATGTCATCAAGTCATTTTCAACTCCTAGCGACCACATACACAGATTTTCTCAGGGAAGTTCTGCAGTGTAGTCTGCAGTGTATTTCTTGACTTCTTGTTCTTTCACTGTAGATGGTTGAGGCAGAAGCTATCCAACACTTCTCTTAGGAAGGTACAGATTATATTTTACATGGGAACTAGTAGTTAGATATATTTCAGACTTCTCAGAGTGGCAAAATCTGATATTTCCTCCCCAGTTGCTCATGTAAGGATTCTGTGTTTTTATATGTAAGTATTCTGTGTGTTTATGCATAAGAAGAAATAATAAATTACAGAAATTTGAAGAGAAAAAAAGACAGACGAGACTAACTTTGCCTTTGCAGATGCTGTCTTTCTCTGACTTTAAGGATGTGTTTGAGGATGCTTCCTCCTATCTAGAAGCTAGATACAGGATCAATAATCTGAGACTGTCTCAGTGTTTAATCTATGTATTTGTAAGTAAATTCAGTGAGAACAATGTAATACATTTCCAGTGACTTCCTTTGAAAGGAAATCAAACTTGCTAAGTGCTGTATTTACCATATAATATAAAATGAAAGCTAGCAAGTCAATTGCCTGTCACCAACCTTTCAAAAAGACTTTTTAAATGCATCCATATGCAATGAATATTTAAAAATACACATTCAGGATATTATCATACTGAAATGAATGTAGCCAGAAAGTTGACCTGAAGAGACTATGGCTCCAGGGACAAACTAGGTGTTTGGTAGCAGATACATGTCTAAAAAACTTGGTTCCTGAAGAACTTTAAAATGGCAGAGGGATTATGCAGTTTCAGACAACTGCCATATTTCCCTGCAGCATGAGAAATATAAATCAGGGAAAGCCAACTAGGGAAAAATAGTTGGGAACAAGAGTACAGGGGAAAACTGGTGAGCAGGGAAAGTGCTAAGGAATTCCACCCAGTCTCCCCTACAAACTGGTAGTTGCCTCCCCCAAAGGGACTGTCTTCTCCCCAGGGTGTCTGCCCACCCAAAATGCTGTGTTAGGGAGGGTGCATTGCTGGTCCCTTCACTGAAACAATGCCATCCTGTGGGACCCAGGAGTTATGCCTTTTCGGTGATGGCCCCCATTTTTGAATGTGTATGTATTGTGGTTCTGTATTCTTTTTGTTAGGTTTTGTTACTTTTTTTTTTTAAGCAGCCCATCTTGGTTGAACTTGGGTGGCCATATAAATGTTACAAACAAACAAACAAACAAATAAATAATTCCATCATCAGAAGCAGATTACACTTCAACCTGTGGGATACCAATAGGGAAAAACATCTATCATGTCAATATTTACATTTATTTTTAATAACATTACAGCTATTATTTTTTAACAAGCACTTAACAGTACAGCACATATTATTACAGCTATTTACCACAGCACCTTTATAAGGAAGGCAAAAATTACTCTATGCATTCCAACCTCTGCACAAAATACAGATTAAGGCTGAAAGACAGTAAATTGCCTAGACTTGCTCAATGAACTGATAATTGAGCTTAGTTAGAATCAGGGACTTTGTACTCAGAGCTCATGTTCGCTCTAATATCAAATCAGGTCCTTTTAAAAAGATGCCTGCAAAATGTTTAAGTACGTTTTCTGTTAACTGAGTGATAGCTTAATTTCAGTTGTTTGTGCTATAGTTCTCCATTTCCAATTGTTGTTCCAAACATATGAAACAAAAATTAACAGGGTAAACTATATTACAAGCTGATCAGAAAGAGATTGTGAAACTTCCTTTAACAATAGAAAAAGAACAACAACAAAACCCATCTCCAAACAAAACACATCCTTTTGTGTTCATTCCAAATAGTATAAAAATGTAATGTGTAAAAAGACAACAGTGTGGCACACATAAAACAGCACCTTCAAAGAAGAAGCTGGGAAACAGAATATCACATTCTTATCCTATAATTTTTCACACTTTTGAATATAACTTGGAAAAGTGAAAAACAAATTTACAACCTCTCCCAACACCACAGCTGGATCAGTTCAATGCTCAGATTTTATGTTATATTGAGCATGTATGGAAACAGCAATTACTACTCACATGAAATTTTCTGGGTATTCACTCAAGGCCATGTCAATGATATTCAGAGCATCATGGTAGTGTTTCTGAGCTGACAGCAAGAGGGCAAGGAGATGCAAAGAATTAGCATCATCTCCTTGAAGCTGCAGGGCCTGACGAACGTATCCCAAAGCTTCTGGTATCTAGTTAAAATAAAAACTGAAAGGAATTATTACCACAACACATATTTTCTAGAATAATTCTACTGCATACGCCGATAGCATCAACAACAAGAGATGGAAATTAGTTCCAAATATATGTTCATACATGTCTTTGGGAGGAAACATTTCATTGCAGAGCACACTTACAGATGCCTTTGAATTTGTATGCAGGCATACAAATGTGAGCCATAACCAATGAAATAGGTTATATATTCCTGATATTTTATAAGGCAATTCTGAAATGTACAGATCAATTTCATTTGGAAATATGAACACAGTGGATACTAAAAGTACTTCAGTTAACACTTTTATTTACTGTCAAAGAAGTATGTGCATAGCCTTGCTAAAATCAACTTTCTAAAATCAATTTTCCCTTACCCTTGCAAATTCAAGGTAGATCAGTATTACTTAAAAATACAAATTACTTAAATATATATAAATTGTATATGTTTCAGGCTTCAAGACACTGCAATTCAAAACAGTTTTTACATTTTTTATTGTTTATTTTCTCAGACTGCAGTTGGCATTGGCCCTTCTCATGTCCTGGTACTACTCAAAAGGGAAACCATAAAAACCAATAAAAGCCAAAGCAATGTTAAAATGTCATTATTTGGGGATGGGGGTGTTAATGGTTGAAGAAAAAGCTACATGAACGGAAGACTATGCACTATTGAATGACTAGTCTTTCTAAAAGGTCTACTAGAAAATATATTATTTTATGTATTATATAAACATAAAATGCAAATCTTGAAAATTGATTCTTATATACAAGGTAATAAGTTATTTTTCTGTCATAATACACTGAATTAGCAAGAAGGTCAAGAATGAATGCAGGCATACAAATGTGAGCCATAACCAATGAAATAGGTTATGTATTCCTGGTAATTTATAGGGCAATTCTGAAATGTACAGATCAATTTCATTTGGAAATATGAACACAGTGGATACTAAAAGTACTTCAATTAACACTTTTATTTACTGTCAATCAATGTTAACAAATCTATTGATTTTTAAACCCACCTGTCGAGAAATAGCAAACTGTAAAGCTAGATAAAAGGCTCCCAGATGATCAGTTGGAGACAAAGTGTGTGCCCTGAAAACAGTCAAATATATTAAGATTTATTGGTATACATTAACTATCCAGATAATTTGTATTACATCCTGGAAAACTATGTCCTTAGTTGTAATGTGATATGCTGAGAAACAAATGAATTTTCAATGTCTTTTCCTTTATTGATAGCTAACACACTAGTAGAATTTTGTTGTTGTTCTTGACACCCAGTTAGTTGTACTTCCTAATCTAGTTAATATTCTGGTCCATCCTTCCTTCCTCCCTCTCTTCTCCTGTGCCTTCATGTCAGCTGCTGTTTTCACCCATTTTTCACTGGATGTTTCAAGATGTCTGATGTCTAACATTCTCCAGTCTCAGAGGGATTCTTATGTTTCAAAATTAAGTGGTAAGGGATTTTTTAAAATCATTTTAAATGTGAATTAGAAATCTGATAAACAGACTGCTCACAGAATTAATAATATAATACAAAGATTTTCTTTTATACATTACTGTTTCAGAAGTCTAATTAAATCTAGGAATGAAAGAAGGGTGATTACCATCTGGCAGCTACCCAGTATTATGTACATCATCATCAGTTTAAAATCTCAGAAATAATCCAGATTAAATATTACTTGCATAAATGGCTGCTGATATTTATGTCAAATGACAGCAGTGATATATTTATAGGAAGGTGGGCATATATGACACAGCTTAAATTCTTATTTTGTACTGATACAAGTTCATGACTCAAGTTCCAAAGGATTTTCTCCTAACCTCTTTTTAAGCAAAAACATAAAAACAAAGTAAAATTTGTCCATAGGCAGCTCTATCTTTTAGAATTAATTCTAAAAATTTACAACATTATGTAACAAGAACATTACTAAATGAGACCTACAAACTTTATGGAAATGCACTGAGCTAACAACAGCTCTCCTTCAGAGCTGTCATAACAAAAATAATATGTACCAATATTCATAAACAGTGTGTGTGTGTGTGTATTGGCAAAAGCCTTTCTGAACTAATTTCTGAGTTATAGTTACTTATCATTAATTAAATCATGGTTTGACAACATGAATTGCTACAATAGTATTAACTGTGATAAAATACTAATGAAAACTATTAATTGATTACATTCCTAGCCTCTTTTTCAACAAATTGCTTATTGTTTTAATATACAAAAAAGAGAAAAAAGAGAAATAGAGAAAAACAATCAAATAAAAGGAAAAAGGAACCAACAAATTATACTTTATGCAAAATTCAGCCCAATTTTTAAACACATGATTAAACTTTGACCACATGGAATAATACTGACCTGTCTTTCCATTACACTATAAATTAATTCATGAATATAAGGCAATCACATTTTGATGTTTTGAGATTTTAAATCTGGAGTTGCACTGTATTTCCAAGATTGAAGAATAATATTTTTGCCTCTCCATGCTCCCTAAATCCAAAATTCTTCATATAGTGATATAGTGATCAAAGTTTGGGGTATGTAATTACATATTTAAACCACATTGGGTTTTTTGTAACATTGTATTAATACATTTACAGGTAGTACTTGCTTACTGACCACTCGTTCAGCCACCATTTGAAGTTGCGATGGCACTGAATGAGTGGTACTTACAACTGGCCCTCTAAGTTCCAGCTGTCACAGTGTTCCAGTGGCCACATGATCGCGATTCGGGCGCTTGGCAACTGGCTCACACTTATGACGATTGCAGTGTCCCGCAGTCATATGAATGCCATCTGTGACCTTCCCTACTGGCTTCCCACAAGCAAAGTCAATGGAGAACCCGGCAGGGAAGATCGCAAGTCACTCTGGTAAATTCCCTGGCTTTCCTGCACTCATGCTACACCCCCCACCCCCTGGCCTTCCAGCACATGTGCCCTGCTGTGCCATCCACTCCCAGGCCTTCCTGAACACACAACCTGCCACACCATCCACCCACAGGCCTTCCTGCATGTGCTCCCTGCCGCACCAAAGCACCCTCATTCCCAGCCTCCCCCAACTCACATGCATCTTGTATTGGGCCTCCCAAGCCCTCCCCCACCTCCCTCAACTCATGCATGGCCTGTGCTGGCCTTCCCAGGGCCGCCCCCACCCCCATGACACCCCCCCACATCCTCATGCTCCTTACCTGGGACTCCCACCGCTTCCCACTTAATGACCTGCATGTCTTGGGGTTACAACGACAACCAGGACTGCCGGGTTTGTCATCGCTAAGTAGTGTGGTTACATGACATAGTGCTTTATGACTGCATCATTTAGCAACGACAATCCTGGTCCCAATTGCCACTGTAACCTGAGGACTACCTGTATTCTATTCTCCCTTCAAGTAAAATTAGTTTTATTCTGATAATTTTATATCAACCAAATTAAGCTTTATGAGAAGAGATATCTGGTTTTATGAATATGATTAATTAAATTTCTAGGATCTTGGCCATTAAAATACAGCTCTGGTAATCACAAAATACATGAGTCACCTGCAAGTTATATTGAATCATAGTACTTTCCCATAACTGTTTTAAGGACACAAGGATTTGAGTCTCTGAATAGTTTAAACTGCCTCTGTTCAACTGAAAATATTACTGCTCCCACTATTACTACTACTAACAATAAGAGCAAAAGCATATATTCTACCAATTCTCCACTATGTTACTCAAGAGCTATGTTTTTTTAAAAAGAAAAAAAATCTCAGATACCAGAATTATTCTTTGAACAAAGGTTGAGCAAAAGTTATTATCTATTAACTGATAACAAAAATATATTTAATGAAATAAGAGGAAACCTGTTGGAATCAGACAGGATTTGCCAGCTCTACTTGATGAACCAAATGTTAATACAATATGCTCTATACTCCTGGAGATAAATCCATATAATCATTTATAAACATATTATTTTCAAAAATACACATAGTTTTCATTATCTACAGTTTAATAAAAAGTTTACCATCCACTAACCTTTGAAATGCTAGAAGAGCCTTTCGCTGTAGGACCTCTTGCATTCCTCTCAAAGAAGCTAAAGACATAATTTAATTAATAATATTTAAATAGAGGTCTGTTTCCAGAAATCCAATTTTAATAAAGGGTTATACACAACAAAATATGCACAACAAAAACCATTTGACAATTTTCTCAATATTACTTAATCTTATAAATTGATATGTGGAATTTACTTACCATCTGTAGCTTGTAGGCTGTAGGTCAGTCCTAGGGCTAAGAAACCTTTGGCTTTGAATTCTGATGTTTTGTCCCCCATATCAACCACCATTCTGGCAAATCTTTCTGCTTCTTCTAACTAAAAATAGATTTACATAGAAAAAGTGGCAGAATTCACTAATTCAGAATTCACTGTTTAAATCAAGTTGACCAATATCTACTGGAATCCAAATCTCATTTAAAATCAGGATCTCCAAACCCTGTCATAAGTGCTAAAGGTAGCATGAGAAATTTGAAAGGGTATAGAAACTTTCCAGCCACTCTCACTATTACCAACTTTTCCTACGATTCCCTTTCCTATACAGGTAGTCCCTGGATTAAGAATGCCCGATTTAAGGATGACCCACAGTTAAGAATGGAGCCTATTGTAGCAAAATTCAAGTTAAATACTCAATGGTTTATTACACAATGGTTCTACTACTTCTACAGTATTATACAATAATACTGTTCCAGCTTACATACAAATTCGACTTGAGGACAGACCTTGGGAATGGAACTCATTCTTAAACTGGGGACTACATGTACCTGCAAATTTTAAAAAGTTGGAGAAGAACAGACCATGAGGATGCCAAGAAATGTGGGAACAACCTCAATGTTCCCAGACATTCCTGGATGGCAGCATCTCAATATCCTATCATGAAGATTGAGGGAGAAAGTACTCAGATGGCTGAGAGCATTCAAGTCAATCCTCACAAACTCTTTAAGCAAAAGAATGAACTAAACTAATCCAAAAGTCAAGAGCCCAAAGGACGATACTTTCTGAAAGGGATTGGGTAAAAGCATGGCTGAGGTACACATAGGAATCAAGATGAAACCTCTTAACCTGTTACCAATTTGGTATGTAGGAAGTAGATTAAATTTCTATTTGTACTTTGATGCTCCTACTGACCGAATTCCTCCCAACTTCAGCAGGCACTCATTATCAATTTGCTTGGCAGCAACTAGCCATAAAGCCATTGTTCACAACCTAGAATTCTTACGTCCCTCAACTTATTGTTCCTCCACCTGGTGGTCTCTACACTTGTTAGGAATCAGAGGCTGAACTGTCAGTTTGGGGTTATGATAGCAGAATCAGCGGAGGCAAAAGGAATGGGAACCATTCTAACATTAATCCTTTAATGCAGAAAATACAATACAGTGATTACTAACAGAGCCATCACGTTTTTGTTTTACTTTTTTTAACCCATGCAGGGCATTGTACATGGCTTATACTGTATAATGCTGGTGTGTTTCTTCTTGATTCTCCCTTCAAGTAAAATTAATTTTATTCTGATAATTTTATATCAGCCAGATTAAGCTTTATGAAAAGGGATCTCTGGTTTTATGAATATGATTAAATTTCAGCCTTAAATTAAATTTCAGCTTTAAATTTCAGCTTTAAATTTAAAGTACAGCTCTGGTGATGGCAAAATACTTGGGAAAATTCATGAGTCACCAGCAAATTATAGTAAATCATAGTACTTTCCCATAACTGTTTTAAGGACACAAGGATTTGAGTCTCTGAATAGTATAAATTGCTGATTAAGCTGCAAGTGTTGTACACCACCCAGTCACTTTTAGTGAGATGGGCGGCTATATAAATGTATTAAATAAATAAATAAAATCAGTTCATGTCCAGTGCTATAACATAGATCGCTGGATAAGAGAGGTACTATAGGTTTTCATTCTGTGCTTTCCATTTCCTCATCCTAAGTATATGAACTGGTAGAAGTGGAGAGCTTCTACAATGGCTATGTTGAATGTTATGTAGTGATGGACTTTGCAGCTGTTTATGGTTAATTTTTTGTTTTAATATGGTTTTATTGATGGTTTTTATATGTCTGTATATTTGTTTTAATCTGTTTCTATTTGGTTGTTGTTTTTAACTGTTTTAAAACTGCCAGAGTAACTTAGATGAGATGGGCTACTATACAAATCAAACAAACTGGACATGACACCTAATATTAACCAGTTACCTTGCAATGCTGATATATCCTTGCAAAGATCTCTTCGAGATTTTTACAAGATCATGTATGCAGTGACAGGACATTTCAATATCCATAACAGATTAAATTAAAATCATCCCAGGATCTACAGGAGAGCTTAATCAGATCTTATTAGTGGTATGGGGGCCAGAACTACAAATATTCAAAAATTTCAATGAATTGATAGACTTGTCTGAAAAAAAAAAGGACAGAATCCTATCCCATTAAAAACAACAACAACAACTAAATTTTAGTATGCCAATCAAGGCATGCCAGTACAGATAACTATAATCAATTGACTAAACAGGGTAATTTTTTAAAAATCTAAGGTAACAAATCAGATTAAAATAGTTAATTCCAGGTTTTCTTTTCATAGCCAAGTTACTCACTTTCTTTTATCGCTCATATCTGAGAACAAACATGCATTCTAAAAGGACTTCCTCAGATGGAGTAATTATAAGCCAAGTTAGAACACTTTATAAAATATCATTATAAAAGCATCCCCCAAACCACATGGAAGTTTGAACCATAATATTAATCATGTTTGAAACTGAGCCAGAGTTTTCTGAACTTGAAACGAAGTACCAAAATAGTCTGGAACTTAAGAATTAAAACTTTTGTTTGAAAGCATATTCTTCTCAGCCTTACATGGACTTGAACATTTAATACTTTGACCGGCAAAAATACCTACTAAAGTATAGAACAATACAGAATAAAAAGAAAAAAACCCCAAAGAAACAGGATGTGTACATATGCCCTTAAATATTTAATTCTTCATTTTTCAGATGACTAACAAAAAAAACTTACCCAATGAAGGGTTCCCATACATAATTTAGCAGCAAGAAGTGGAATTGTAGGATCATCTGGTTTCAACCGAATACATTCTTTTAAGACCTTCACAGCTCGAGCAGACTATATAAAAGGGTGTTAGAAAATAAGGCAGTCAGGAGGTAGCAAAGTGTGATATTTCAATTTGCTACTTTAAACCATTCTAAGACGTAATAAAGAAAAACTGAATGCATTTCAATCAAGAAGGAATTGGTTTGATTTTAAGTCCAGTAGCTACCAATCAGATTTGACTTTTTAGATAAAGTAATAGCTTCTACATATTGTATAGCACATGATCAAAGATGAAAAGATGCCAAGAATGTGTAGAGCGATTCTGATGGAAATTAAAAAAAAAAAGTATTGTCGAACAATACAAGCAGCCACTCAGTAACCCAACCCCACCCACACCCCCCCCCC